CTCCTCGCAGGTGACTTGTTTGGTGCAAGGATAATCTGAGGTTTAGTACCTTTCTTGGTACATGGAGTCATGCCACTGAAGAGCAGGGGCAGACCAATTAGAATGTTTGATGCCCACTTTGAACTCCATTTGTCCTGGTATGGCTTATGCTACAAATAGGAAGTCAGGCCCAACACTGGGGAGGTAGGCTGTTGTCATTCTAAGGTGAGATTTAACAAGGAAAAGCCAACACTAAATCCTGACCAGGATGACCCCTTCCCCTGCCATGCACACCATTTCAAAACTATAAACAGCCTTGGGACCATGTCAATCCCTCCTCTAGACAGGGGCTCAGCAGTCAAGTGTTACTCAGTGCCTCAGAACATGTAGTCTTCTGTCTCAGAGTTAAGGTGTTGCCTTCACTGCAAGTTGTGACCTGACTGCATCAAAACAGGCTGGAGACTGACTGGTTTAAGCAGCAGCTCTGCAGAAAAGGACCTGGGGGGTTACAGTGGACAATAAACTGATTATGAGCCAACATATGATACCCTTGTTGCCAAGAAAGCTAACAGCATACTGGGCTGCATTAGTAGGAACGTTATCAGCAGATCAAAGAGCAGCAAGGGAAGTTTAGGTTAGATCTTAGGAAAAAAATTCTCACTAGGAGGGTAGTAAAACACTGGAACTGGTTACCTAGGGAGGTTGTGGATTCTCCATCCTTGGAGGTTTTTAAGACCTGGCTAGACAAAGCCTTGGGTGGAATGATATAGTTAGGGATGGTTTGAGCAGGGGGTTGCACTAGATGACTTCCTGAGGTCCCTTCCAAACCTAATTTTCTACAATGCTATGATTCTATGACTGAGGGAACCACATCAAAAGCATCAACCACATCCCTTCCCCTGACAAGGAAACCTCTATAGCGAGGCCCTAAATGAGCTGAAAGGTGGAGTCAGATGGCTGAGAATAATATCTCAAGGTATCCATCTACTTCCTCTGCCATCTCCCTCTATATTCATCTCTCCTAGCTAATGCGTTATGACTTGATCACTGGACAAGCAGCTGTCCTTCTAATACAACTGTGGCAGCAGAAATCCTAGCAGCAGAAGCAGTTTCGTTTCTGTTTGGTGTCCCTACCAGTCAATTACAGGACCTCACAGCAACGCAAAGATAATGTCTGATGCTAAGAAGCGGCAGTTAAGTCCGAGACACCCAAATAGGTATAACATTCACAAGAGGGCTTTAGCCTCTGGTAAAGCATTTTTAAAAATTCACAGGAAGGCTTTAGTCTCTGGAAAGATCCACACCAGCCAGAGGTCAAATGTCATCTTGCAGGAACTGGTAACACTGGAGACATGGCCAAGGATGTAGAAGGACCTTAGGACAAAATGTTACTGTCCCAGAATCTAGCAGATCAGCTGGGGAAGTGTCAGCACTTGATGCTGGATTTGTGAATGGAGGGAGTAAAGAGAAAGGGAGGCAGAGACACAGGATGCACAGAGGGCCTTCAGATTTGCCTTATGCTAGTACTTGGAGACACAGCTCTGAGGCCTATCCAAAATGTCTGGCTGCTGATGCTGAACCATAATGCCTGTAGTCAGAGGCATAACAACATGGCTAAACGCTCAACGCAGCTGCCACACCCTGGGGCAGTGGCATGGGTAGAACTAAAATTTTGAAAAGGGTGGTCTGGATGCTGAGATGCATCATCACAAATAAAGTAAACCATATTTTTCTCCAGTTAAAAATAAACTAGAAGCATTACTAATATGATAGGGGCCTAGGGCTCTATTATTCAGTCTAGGATTGAAGCAAAAACAAATATAACTTTATTGGAATGAGTTAAAAACTATCTGCAGGAGCTTCTTTGCCAGCAACATCTAACAGGCAGCAGAATTGCAAAACAAAGGCTAGCTTGGTTGGTGGAACATCAAGACCATTGACGCAGGCTCAGGGGTGATCTGGTGGTCACCTACAAGTTTATCGGGGTGCCCAATAGGATCTGGGTGAACGTCTGTTCACTAGAGCCCCCCAAGGGATGACAAGATCAAACGGTCACAAACTTCACTGTGACTGATTCAGGCTGGACATAAGAAAGAACTTCTTTACTGTCCGAGCCCCCAAGGTTTGGAATAGACTGCCACTGGAGGCGGTTCAAGCACCTACTTTGAACGCCTTCAAGACACATTTGGATGCTTATCTTGCTGGGATCCTATGAACCCTGCTGACTTCCTGCCCCTGTGGCAGGGGGCTGGACTCGATGATCCTCTGGGGTCCCTTCCAGCCCAAATGTCTAGGCCTATGAAATCTATGAAATTATAAAGAAGAGTGGATCATTAATACTTGTTGAATGAAGAGTTTAAAAGGGATAAGGTAGATTATAATGAGCCATGAAGTTGCTTGACTCTTCAGCACTGCCTGAAAAGGCAGTTGCTGCTGCCACCAGCGCCAGACAGCTGGTTTTAAACTTTGGGTGGAGAAGGAATCAAAATATGTATGGGGGGTGGTGCAAATACACCAGTGCGTGCCCCCTGGATCCAGCCCTGTCCAGTGGTGACTGTTGGTTGCCACTGCACTTCTGCCACAATCGCGCAAGGGAAACAGTGGTAATTGTTTTACATCCCTCCCCCCAAGTCAGCACCTGGGTCATCCTGTCCTAGCTGTGCCTCTACCTATAGTAACCTCCCCAAACCCAGGGCAGAGCAGAGCTTTCACAAACCCTCTCCTAGCAGTCAAAAATTAGCCATGTACTCTGACATGGTTTGTATTTTTCCATGCTGAGTATATTCAGTAATGTCTGCTGAAGCCCTCACTGCATCCTTGCTCACAAACTACTCTCTGCTAACGTGAGTCAGAGGGGACAAATCAGAGGATGGCATTTGATCAGGAAGCCAAACTATCCAAACTATGACAGGTGGAGGGAAGAGACAGGAAGGCAAAGCCAGTAACATGGTACAGATGCTGAGGTTAAAAAAACAGTGATATGCTGCCAGAGTTGCAGAAAGTGCATGCAGATCGGAGGAGGGAATAGAGCTGACAAATGATACCACAAATGGGCTAGGTCAGTGATCTCCAAACTTTTTATGGTGAAGGTCACTTTTTGTAAGTAAAGGGCACCCAAGGATCTACCGCCCCGCTCCCTGTCCGACTCCCCACCCCATTCACTCTCCATTATTGAGGTTGCTCCATTTCATGTAAATAATTCAATATTAATTGGAATACAGGCTTGAACATAAAATTCCCACATCCCAGCAGCAATAACTATTGAAGGACAGAATCAGTGTCTGACTTTTTCCCCTCTCTTCTCCAGTGTTTAGTCATTTATTAAAACAAGAGGAAAAAGACTCACCTCCACTTAATGGTTAGGGTACTCTTCTGCAAGGTGGAAAACCTGGGTTCAAGTCCCTACTGCAAATTAGGTGGCTTGGGGATTGGAGAGTAGGTCTCTCTCACACAAGAAGAATGGATCCTAACTATGCAAGCCAATAAAACCTACCGCTAGTCAACCTGATTATGTCTTCTCCTGGTTGCTTTCTGTACAGACTGCCTACCAGAATAGGCAAGATAGGAAGAGGAACATCTAGTCTGCAGATCCTCTTTGAGCTGGAGTAAGGGCACCAAGAAAGTTCAGCACATCAGGACTCAGTTTTGCACCTGCCCTCTAGTGGAAGTTTAGGAAACCAGGAGTTTACTGGTAGAAACTGAAGTATATAGCAGGGGGTGGGCAATTTTAGATTGTCCATCCACCAAGAAATTGAAAAAATCTGCAATTGGAGTCTAAAACAAAATTTCTAGATAACAAAAGACATGGGAATTGGTACAACTATGGGCAACTTTTCCTGAAAATATTCATTTAAGCTTAGTTTTGTTACAGGCTTCTGTTAAAAACAGTAGAAGACAGAGGCCTACTGAAGCCACAACAGACAGAAAGGTAAGCAGAAATATTAGCATAAATATGGTATGTTGTAATCAATTTCCATTCAATGTAACCAGTTGCGTTAGGACACTCAGAACGAAGCATGTCACAGGTGTGGTACTGTGCTGCGAAAACTGAGCTGGTTGTAAGCTCATTAGGTTCGTTCAAATAAAAATGAAGAAAAAAAAAAGGTTGACACTGAAGGACTGAAACGAAATGGCATCAGCGTGAAAAGGCAGCTGAGGTAACTAGAGAGGGGCCCCGATTGCAAATCCCACTGAAAAGGTGAAGTGAAGAGGCAAGGATTTCCCAGGGCAGCCTCTTTTACTGGACCAACTGCTTGGTTGAGAGGAGGCTGGACAGGCCTTGGGAGGCGCGGTGCTCTTCCTCAGCATGAAAACATTTGTAAATCAGGAGTTGAACTACACAGGCTTTGCTCAGAAGATAAGTGTAGAGAAGTTTGGTGTCCCAGGAGAAACTCTCTCGGGAGACATTTAACCCTGGTTGCTTCTGGGTTATTTCTCTAAGACACTTGTTCTGGTCAAACCGACGATTTTGCAGGACGCGGAGGAAGGGGTGGGGAGTGCGAGGCGGGTGCTGCAGATTTACCGGCTGCCAGGGCCCCTGGCGGGGTTCACAAAACAGCAGCGTGTCCAAGGCACGAGTTTAAGCGGATGAGGTAGGAAGAAATGTCAGGGTCCCTGCGATGGCGGGGCAGACCGGGCGGCTGTCACTGAGGGGCGCGAACCGTGTGCGCCCGGATTGGGCAGGAGCGGGCGTGGAGTCAGGGCCGGGCACGCGCCCTCTCAGCCGAGGCCCCGCGGCGACTGGCCTCCGGGTGCCGAATAACGGCGACGTGACATAGCCCCGTCCCCCCAGGCCCGCTACCAGGAGCGCGCGAGTCACTAAGCGCCCGCTTAGCAGCTGGCAGCTTTCCCGGGGCGCGCGACAGTCACAGCACAGACCCCGCCCCCGTCTCTCATTGGCGCGTCGAAGGCGGCGCATGCGCACCAGAATCGGACGCGCTTGGAAATCTCCCCACCCCCATCCTCAGCTAGGTAGCTGCGCCGTCCGTCCGCACGCGGTGTGCGCATGTGCCTTGCCCGAACTGCTGATCTACGTGCCCTACCCCCCTCAAGCCGAGCGGGGCGGTTGGGCGGTATGGAGGCGCCGCCGGTCACCATGATGCCCGTCACGGGCGGCACCATCAACATGATGGAGTACCTGCTCCAAGGTGAGCCCGGCCCGCGCTGCCTGGGGCCGGCCCGAGCTCCGCGGCAGCTCCAGGGAACAAGCCGCCGGCGTCAGCCCGCGCCCCCACCTTCCGGCTGGGAAGAAACGGGTTGGCACAGTGCTCAGGCAGTGCACGAGGTGGGGACGGGCAGGCTACGTGTATTGCGTAGTTGAGCCATTAATTGCGCGCTGAATGTAACGGGGGGCAGGCGGCCTTGGCCTTCCAGCCTGACAAAAGCTGGCAGGGCTGGTGAGGAGCGCTGTGCACCTTTAATTCTTCAAGTAATTAAGGCCCCTGATGCTTTCAAGAAAAAAGAGCCTGGTGTTTTACGGCTCAAAGCAACAGACCACTTCCCCGTGAACCTGGGGTGGAGGAGGGGTTTCTGGGCAACCTTGCACAGATAGAGGAGAGGAAAGGGTGTGGGCACTTATGAACTGGTAAGCGGTGACACGTTTCCTGTCTGTCGTCTCCAGGGAGCGTTCTGGATCAAAGCCTGGAGAGTCTCCTTCATCGGCTACGGGGCCTGTGTGACAATATGGAACCGGAGACGTTCCTCGATCACGAGATGGTATTCCTTCTCAAGGGGCAGCAGGCCAGCCCATTTGTGCTGAGGGCACGGCGCTCGATGGACAAAACAGGCATGCCCTGGCACTTGCGCTACCTGGGGCAGCCAGAAATAGGAGACAAAAACCGCCATGCTCTGGTCCGTAACTGCGTAGACATTGCCACCTCGGAGAACCTGACTGACTTCCTGGTGGAGATGGGCTTCCGTATGGACCATGAATTTGTTGCCAAGGGCCATGTGTTCCGCAAGGGCATCATGAAGATTGTGGTATACAAGATCTTTCGCATCCTGATGCCAGGAAACACTGAAAGTATAGAGCCCTTGTCTCTCTCATACCTTGTAGAGCTGAGTGTAGTGGCACCAGCAGGTCAGGACATGGTTTCTGATGATATGAGGAACTTTGCTGAGCAGCTGAAACCATTAGTGCACTTAGAGAAAATTGACCCAAAAAGGTTAATGTGAATAAAAAGCAGTCATGGGTGTTGCAGACCACTTTGGTTAAGAGTCATAATGACCTGCCTCATTAAACTATTCTTACAAAATGCTTCTTGCAAGATTAAAGCTGGGGGACAGGAATTCTTTGGTATTTAGTTTTGTCACTGTGATAATTGACAGTTTGGGGTAACCTGTTATAGGGTAGCTGTGAATAAACGATGTTTGAAAGCAACTTAAAAGCAATTCTGTCAAATGAAATTCTAAGCAGCGTGAGGAAAGACATTTAACATATTAGCATTCCTGCCCCTCCAGAGTGTGTACGTGTACACGCACACGCTATTACTAGAACAGGGAGCATACAATTCCAAATTTGAAAACATTTAACTTATGTAATACTGCTTCCCCAGTAGCATATGTTTGCATACCTTTTCAACAGTTGTACTTTTGTTGCTCTTGAATGCTGTAATATTCAGGTTCCAGGTTTTAAAACAATGTTCTCAAGGTATTAAAAAAAAAAAAAGATTCCATCCTTACATCTGGGGTTTTGCAAAAGCTTTTTGGAGGGGTGGGGGGGAGGAATCAGGACTTTTAGCCCCAAGTGTACTTCATAATACTTTTACATCTGCGATTAGGAATACAGTCAAACACCTCAGTCTGATTGTTTCATGAAAGTCAAGCATCTCAATGCCCAACTGTTGCACATGTTGCAGTGAATACAATGGATGGGGGTTGGGTATTTATAGTATTAGAGCAATTTATAAAACTAAGATTAGATGATTTATTATAAGAGTACTGCAGGAGTGCTTATTTTGATTGTAATTGGTTTCCTATTTTCTCTTTCAGTATTTATAAATCAGACCCTATCCTACAACTCCATGGGGTTTGTATTTAGTATAAAATATTTAATTTTAGCAATGAAAACTCTCAAATGCGCACACTCTACCACAAGGGCTATTTTTCATTAAAAACCTAGGCATTAAATCTAATGTGCCTAAGGCTTCTGACCTGTTATTTTTGCATCACTACAAAGTTTGTAATGCTACAAAACAGATCACTGTGGGGTGTACACGTCTACACAGGCCCCTGGCTGGAGCATGACAAAGTCACCACAAAGGCTTGTTCTCCAGCCAGGGGAAAATAGGGGGCTGCTCCTTAAGCCTCCATCTCCACAAAGAAGGCCCATCAGTGAGCAAGACAGGCTTGCCTGATTAGCCATTCCCATCTTAGCAACAGATGGGAAGCCATCTATGGTGACAAGGGCTGATTGGGCAGTCTCTGCCCCCTGATCAGCCTTTGCCCCTACTTCAGCTGTTGGCAGCTGTTGCCATCATTTCAACAGATGATGCTCTGGTCTTAAGCCACCCACGGCAGTAAGAGCTGATCAGGCAGTAGCGACTCCTGCTGTCACTGTTGCCCCTGCTAGTACCCTGGCTCTTCCCCTGGGCTCTAGCAGTAGCAGCAGTTGTTTGAGCAGCAGTGGGGATGTCATAGGAACGCCTGACAGTTGTGGTGGTAGTAGTAGGGTCCCTGCAGGCGTCCCCCAAGTTTGCCATCTGGGCAAGCAATTTAGGGAGGCAGTCATTCTTTTTGCTTCCCCCTTGTAGGGGTGAGGTGGGAAGGGCAAGCAATGCTCAGTGGAATACCATGCATGCTTCAGACCTGTATATCAAGTGTCACATAAAAAAAAAAAAAAAAGTTTCCCCACAACACAAGTGGCTGTTGGAAGCAGCAATTTTGTTGTAGATCCACCGTTTTTAATGCAACAAACTGAACGTGCACATTTCCTTTCTCTCACTAAAACAGTGTGTATAACAAAAAATGTGTAGTGCAAAGGCCTAACTGGATGAGTCAAGGCATGATAGATTGGGAAACCTACTACTATGCAATCAAAGTGCTTTTGCAAACAGAGAGTGTAATTTCATTTGCTATGAAACTCTTCTATAACTTACCATCACATACCTATTTAGGCAACAGAAAAGGACAGCTCCTTAATGAAGGGTATTGTAAATGCCCATAAAATGACAAGGAAATTTAAGTGAACAGTAGAATTGTGAATTTTCCAAGTTAATCAGTGTAAATGATTATTGTCATCAACTATGCAACATGACACAGTATATGGAATACAATGCCCTCAGCATTCCATGGATGCTGAATTTATGTAAAAATAAGTAGATACTTGAGCAATTCATGAAGATTTAACTTGTGGCCAGCTAGTGAACTGGGAGTGTTATTATGACAGTAAATACACACAATCCTCAAAACTTGAAAGTATATTTCATAATGCAGGTGGCAGCATGTATGTACCCAGAATACCAGTACATCTTGCATGTTTCTACTTAATTCCTAGAACATAATGCCCTTCTTTAAGGGACAAAACAGGCCTGCGGCATCCTTTGTTTCTCAAGATATACCAGTTTGCTCATGTAAAATTAAGCACCATTTTGATCCTCATTCTCATCAGCATGTTTGATTTGGAAATACAGGTGTGTATTTTTGTAGTACTGGACACAACAGGAAACCTATTGAACACAATGGGAAGACTGGTAAAACAGTATATAGTTTGAAAAAAGGTGTTTGGGACTAGCCTTCCTGTCAGAACATGTTCTATTGTGGGTTATGTCTTAAATTACTTTTGAGAGGAATAGTATTAAGAGCTTTTGTACTTTTTCATACCATGTTTAATCACTCATCTGCTGTATTAAGACAATCTCCATGATTCACAAAATGATAATATTAAATGATCTGTTAAGTGCTAGCTAGTATTGAGGAAAGTTTTAGTGGTGCACCTAACCTGGTACTTCTCCAACTTATTTTTATGGCAGGTCTCTTATTAAACACAGATCCTATGTTGAACACTTCTCCCAGTTCTGATTCAGACCTTTCTGAGGAAACTTGCAGTGCTTGGTTATACAAAAAGATACCATTAGGATGTTACCAAGAAAACAAGCTTAATGATCTATGGTGATGGGTTGAGTTGCTTGGACACACTGTTCCTATTGTTTAAAGCTATTGTTTACTGCATTGGGGAGAACCGCCCAGGGAAGTGTTTATATTTGACATTTATTTTTATTCAAGTTCTAAAATACACATTGTGAAGATTTTCATTCCACAAAGATTCTAATTTTTTGGTTCCAATTCATAATGGAAACCAAATTTTAAACAGCTAAGGTTCCTGCAGTGTGAATATTCACTTTTCAAAATAGCTGTATGCCCCCTTGGTGGGGATTTCAAATGAATGGATCATAACATGCTGTAGCAGAGATCTACTCTCATAAAATAAACATGCTTTAAAATCAAGGAATAATACAGGTTTCCCTCAATTTATGCGGGTTTGATTTATGCAAATTTGCTCTTATGCAATGACCTTTTTGTACCTGAAATTCATTATATTCAAGGTAAATTTGCATATGTGCAATCAGCACAGGCCTGGAGAATGCCAGATAAATTGAATTTGCATAAAGTGAACATACTTTATACAGTAATGTAGGAAGTAGGGATAGATTTCCCTGTTGGCTGCTCCCAGGGCTGGCTGGGGTGAGTGCAGACAAGCAGAGTCCTGGGCAGTGCGCGGCATTCACCCCAGCCCCACAGGCTCTCTGAAGAAAAGCTTCATAAACATGTCAGGGTGGCATGGGGGGGACCAACAAAAAAACACCCCAACTTTAAAATAAAAATGTACATACCTGAAAAGCAGAATCTGTAAAAAAAAGGCTCTCATTTGCAGACTTTCAGTATGTCCATCCAAATCCAAATTTGTGGGTGGGTAAGGAAAGCCAGTTTCTGTAGCTAACAGTTCAGAATCGGGGTGTGCGAAGTGTGCCCTATTCAATTTGGATTTGGCCTGAATCAGGGACAGTGATTCGATTAGTTGATTCAGATCACTGCCCCTGATTTGATTCGACTGAATCCGAATCTGAAGATTTGATGTCAATTTGGACATAGACACAGCTTTACATGTTTTTTCTACATACCTTGAAGTAGCAGGCATGGCTCGTGATTGCGGCGATGCTGAGGCACATGGAGTGTCCAACAGGCATGCAGGGGGGCCCTCCATGTGCTTGGTGGCAAACCCAGAAGTGGGTCTGCTGGGGAGTGCGCGGGGGCCCAGCAGTCATTAAACTAAAATGTACATCTTTCAGATTCATAAAACAAAAGCTAGCTTTCTTAAGCACCGTGACAGTGCATCCAGTGCTTCACTGAAAGTTACCTCCACACCTTATCTAAAGTTCATCTGAGTTAATGCTTCCACATTTGAGTTAATGCTTTTAGCTAGTTTTAGCTAGTGAGTGTGCCTGTAACTCATGCTCTGACATATTCTAATTAGAATGAGCTTTAGTTGAATGGCCATTGCTAAACGTGCAGTGGGGCTTAATATATGTGATGCTGCACGTTTTAATTAGAGCAGCTCTCTGGGAACCACTAGTGAAAGTGTCATCCTCCCCACCCCCAAGCATGTGTATAAGTACCCCTAAGGACTGTGAAATGGTCTATCAGAAATGGTCTATCAGCTTCTTCATTCTACAGATTTGAGTTGCATTCTTTTAGGGTTGTTCAACTGGCAGCACAGGAGCCACAGACTGCCCTCAGAGGATCAGTGTGTGGTCCCTGAGCTCCCACCCAGCTGTTGCTCTCCACATCACTTCAGCTGCAGCAACAGTGGAGAGCTGCAGGCTCCCTTTTTCTTCCTTTCACTTCCTGCTCCAGGGCACAAGGGAGTACACTGCAGTATTGCACAAGCTGCAGCCTGTGGTCCCTGCATGGCACAGGTATGGAGAGCAGAGGGTGAGGCTGTGGCTTGGGTTGCATGCCACGTAGGAGTACAAGGTTCTGTGGCTTGTGCTAGTGCAGGTTGCACAGCATGTAGCTCCCATGGGTGTGACCCAGGAGGTGTATGACCTCTGGCTGCTCAGAAGCTGGGCAGTCCTGTTTTTGTGCACCATTGCTTCTTCCTTTTTAATGTACCTTTCTCTTTTTCTAGCCTTGATTTTTGTCCATTTAGCTTGCAATATGTCCATTAGATTACAGCTAGAGGTCCTAGCTAATGTTTTGCTGGGGGTTGTAAATACACTTCTAATCTAAAAAGGAAAAAAGGGGGCACTAGAAAGGAAGCATTACAGAAAATGAGCACAGAAATTGAAGGGGAAGATTCAAATTAGGATTTAAGTGCAGGAATGCACAGTGTCCCCACAACTGATTTTAGGTACGTGGCTGCAAGGTCACACAGGGACACCAGAGTTCTGCATGCCCATCAGGGTAACCAAGATACAGAGGATTGTCATTCATCCCACACAGCATGCAAGGAAGGGGACACTGCATCTAGATGAGAGAAACTGGAAGAAAGGCAAGTGCTTCAGAATTCTGCCTTTTTTCCAGACTTTGACAGCAGTTAAGGGTGCAGGCAAACACCCAAGTTGTGCCTTTGCAAGACCGGGATTCACAGTTCAGAACATGCACCTTGATTTGATCACTGAAGTCACCATCCCTTCATTAGTAGCCATCTTGGTCCAGTAGCCTAGGGTTAGGAGTACCTCACCCAGGAAGCAGCAGACTCTTAAAGCAGTAGCTCACAAGGGGCTTTACCTATATCTCCCACCTTCAGTTAAGTTCTCTAATGAACAGGCTACAGGCTCAGCCAGACTGAGAACATAGTCTACTCCTTCAGTGGAAACTAGGCTACTGCCTAGAAAAAGACCTTGAATCAGGGGCCAGAGAAAACAAGCATGGTGGAGACTGAATTAATAGGTGAGAGAACATTTTTGTGGCAGAAAGGAGTCCTACATTATTGTATTTTTTACTGATTTTATTCAATGATGATTCAAAGCAAGTCAGCCCAGCTCCATGAGTCCTGGAGCAGGAGCAAGTGCTGATTAGAACACTTCTAACTCACCATTAATTCCAGATGTCTAGCTGGTGTGACAATTCTGTTGCATAATCCCCGCTAAACTATGGCTTCAGCCAAATCACTTGCACTTTGTCTCTTACTCCACAGATTTATGTCTTCATAGTTTCTAGGGTTAGAAGGGACCTGAGCAGATCATTGAGTCCAACCCCCTGCCATGGCAGGAAGGAGTACTGGGGTCAAACAACCCCAGCAAGGTGTACATCTAGCCGCCTCTTAAAGACCCCCAGGGTAGGAGCCAGCACCACTTCTCTTGGAAGTTGGTTCCAGATCCTAGCTGCCCTGACCGTGAAGTAGCGCCTTCTGATGTCTAGCCTGAATCTAACCTCTGCCAGCTTGTGACCGTTATTCCTGGTCACTCCTGGCAGTGCTCGGGGGAACAGGGACTCCCCCAGTGCCTGCTGGTCCCCTCTGACTAGTTTGTAACAAGCCACTAGATCCCCCCTCAGCCTTCTCTTGTGGAGGCTGAACAGGTTCAG